CTTTCAAAGCTCTCAAGGTCACTGTACAAGACAAAATATAAGGAACAGCAAGCAATACAAACAACAAGAAATAAATGCTAAGAGTAATTCCCAAGGGTAGAGTCGGAGCAGTGCAATGGATAATAGACTAAAAAGAGTAGATGGAAGGAGGACAGTTACAATGAGTAAGCCAGGCGGAACATGTGAATTTTGAGTTGAGACTTGAAGGTTGAGAAGGAGTTTATATTGCGGAGGTCAGGCGATAGAGTGTTGCAGAGTTTTGGAGCTGAGTGGCTGAAAGCTCTGGCTCCCATAGTACTGAGACGAGCGCGAGGAACAGACAGGGAAGGTGAAGATGATGATCGGAGAGAGCGAGTGGGAGTGACAATGTGGAGGAGATTAGAAAGATATGGGGGAGCGAGATTATGGATGGCTTTAAAGGCATTAAGAAGTATCTTATAGTCAGTTCTGTATTTGACAGGGAGCCAGTGAAGTTGTTGCAGGACAGGGGTAATGTGATCAAAAGTGGAGGTCTTGGTGATTATCCGGGCAGCTGAATTTTGGAGTAACTGTAGCTTGCTGAGTGATTTTAGAGGGAGACCAGAGAGGAGGGCATTACAGTAATCGATGCGACTGGTGACCAGGCTGTGGACCAAAATAGCAGTGGAGTGCTGACTGAGGGAGGGGCAGAGCCGATTGATATTGCGAAGATGAAAATAAGCAGTTTTTATTCTGTTGTTAATATGAGGAATGAAGGATAAGGTGTTGTCTAAGATGACACCCAAGCTCTTAGCTTTGGCGGTGGGGAGAAGTGTGGTGTTGTCGAAGCTGAGTGAGAATGAACTGGTCTTGGATAGAGATGACTTGGTGCCAGTGAGGAGGATCTCAGTCTTATTACTATTGAGCTGTAGAAAGTTAGAAGAAAACCAGGATTTGACTTCCATGAGGCAACTGAGAAGGGAGGATGAAGGGAGCAGGGGGTTTGGTTGGGTAGAGAAGTAGAGCTGGGTGTCATCGGTGTAGCAGTGGAAATGAATATTAAATTTCCTGAAGATATTGCCAAGTGGGAGTAAGTAGATTATGAAGAGAAGGGGACCTAAGACTGAGCCCTGAGGAACTCCAGAGGTACAGTTGTGGTCAGAAGTTTACATACACTTGTAAAAAATATAATATAATGGCTCTACTCAGTGTCCCGTTATTTCTAAAACTCTGATTTTTCTCTGATAGAGTGATTGGAACAGATACTTCTTTGTCACAAAAAACATTCATGAAGTTTGGTTCTTTTTAATGTCTTTATTATGGGTTAACAGAGAAAAGTGATCACATTTGCTGGGTCACAAATATACATACAGCAACATGAACTAGCAATTTTGGTGACTTAGAAACGTGTCAGTGAACTGAGCTTCATAGCATGGCCTCTTAACTTCTTGTGAGGGATTATGAGTGACTACAGCGGGTGACTTATTTTAGGCCAGGTAAATAGGGCTCATTGGATACAAACGCCCACAAACGCTACAATGGGAAAGTCAAAGGAGCTCAGCATGGATCTGAAAAAGCGAATTATTGACTTGAACAAGTCAGGAAAGTCACTTGGGGCCATTTCAAAGCAGCTGCAGGTCCCAAGAGCAACAGTGCAAACAATTGTTTGTAAGTATAAGGTGCATGGCACTGTTTCATCACTGCCAAGATCAGGAAGAAAATGCAAGCTATCACCTGCTGCTGAGATAAAATTGGTCAGGAGGGTAAAGAGTGAACCAAGAATCACCAAAAAGCAGATCTGCCAAGAATTAGAAGCTGCTGGAACACAGGTGTCATTGTCCACAGTCAAATGTGTTTTGCATCTCCATGGACTGAGAGGCTGCCGTGCAAGAAGGAAGCCCTTGCTCCAAAAGCGGCACCTTAAGGCTCGACTGAAGTTTGCTGCTGATCACATGGACAAAGATAAGACCTTCTGGAGGAAAGTTCTGTGGTCAGACGAAACAAAAATCGAGCTTTTTGGCCACAATGCCCAGCAATATGTTTGGAGGAGGAAAGGTGAGGCCTTTAACCCCAAGAACACCATGCCTACAGGCAAGCATGGTGGTGGGAATATTATGCTGTGGGGCTGTTTTGCTGCCAATGGAACTGGTGCTTTACAGAGAGTAAATGGGATAATGAAGAAGGAGGATTACCTTCACATTCTTCAACATAACCTAAAATCATCCGCACGAAGGTTGGGTCTTGGGCGCAGATGGGTGTTCCAACAGGACAATTACCCCAAACACACATCAAAAGTGGTAAAGGAATGGCTAAATCAGGCTAGAATAAGGGTTTTAGAATGGCCTTCCCAAAGTTCTGACTTAAACCCCATTGAAAACATGTGGACAGTGCTGAAGAAACAAGTCCATGTCAGAAAGCCATCAAATTTAACTGAACTTCACCAATTCTGTCAAGAGGAGTGGTCAAAGATTCAACAAGAAGCTTGCCAGAAGCTTGTGGATGGCTACCAAAAGCGCCTAATTGAAGTGAAAATGGCTAAGGGACATGTAACCAAATATTAACACTGCTGTATGTATATTTGTGACCCAGCAAATGTGATCACTTTTCTCTGTTAACCCATAATAAAGACATTAAAGAACCAAACTTCATGAATGTTTTTTGTGACAAAGAAGTATCTGTTCCAATCACTCTATCAGAGAAAAATCAGAGTTTTAGAAATAACGGGACACTGAGTAGAGCCATTATATTATATTTTTTACAAGTGTATGTAAACTTCTGACCACAACTGTAACTGGCTTGGGGTTAGAGTGGAAGGTGCGCAGTTGGACAAATTGAGTGTGATTAGATAGATAGGATTTGAACCAATTTAGAGGAGTTTTTGAAATGCCGATGGTGGATAGTCTATGGAGTAGAACTGTGTGTGAGATGGTGTCAAATGCTGCACTGAGATCGAGTAGGATGAGGATGGAAATCTGGCCTGAGTCTGCTGCAAGATCTCTGTAGATGTTTTTGGTCTCAAAGTTTTAGGTGGTTGGTTTTGTTTATGCAGCTTCTCAGCAGAAACCTCGGAGGCGTTGACGCTGTCAAGAGTCTTAGAACTCGTGAAATTCCTTTTGATGAGCAAACAGCAGAAGTATCAATTTGCAAAATAAATCAAACTTTAATGTCCAAGTGTGAAGATCTAATACAGCCAGGTGTCCAGAAAATGTAAAGTTTTAACGCTCTGATAAATGATGAAAAGCGGGTTGGGATGTGTGTGTGGTTCGGGGTTTAAGCAACACGTTTTTAGATTAAACTCACAACAAATTGATAATTAATCACAATATCTTTTGGAAACTAAAGGTTGAATACGGAACACGAACACCAGAGCGACATCTAGTGTGTGGAGGTTGTAGCCGCAACAACGGAACAAGGCTTCCAGCTTTCAGGATACCAGGTTCGCTGCTGATATGTGAAATCTTGTATTTGGGTCCATCTGTTGTAGGCTTCCCCTAAACTCACTCAGGTTTGAGATCTTTTATGGTTGCTCCTCTTGTGAGAAGAATAACAACATCTTCTGGGTTCAGAAGCAGCTGCTTGACCCGCCGAGTCCACAGAGCCAGCCTCGCTGTACCCAGACTGGCAACCAGCAACGGTGCCCTCTACTGGCTGGTAGATATCAACGTAAACCCGGTGTTGTGCCTGACTGTTTACGTTTAATATTTTAAATGGTTTTTATTTTTTGTGTACCACCTAAGATACAAGCTCTTGTTTTAGGGACTTATTTTTAAACATTTTTTACAATTCAAACAGTAAAAAGGTTTTAGAAGAAAGTTTTATTAAATATTTGAAAATAAAAATATATAACAGTCTTTTTAAAACCAAGTTTATAGTCAGATGAAAATAAATCAAATATTAAAGCACAGAAGAAGACTGTATCTTCATCTCAGTTGGGGTAAATGTTCTTTTGAGACACAAAAATAAGGATTTATTTTAAAAAAATATTTCTACATTTTTTCTGATGAATTTTCTCATTTGCAGAGCTCAGACTGGCCTCTTGTTAGTAAAGATGAACATAAAAAAGTGTTCTGCATTGACTGCTTTAAAAAAAATAGGAAATCCAAAGATGGGCCTCACAAAATGACTCAGAGGGCCACAGATGGCCCCCGGGCCAGATATTGGACATGCCCTGCCATATGTGGACTTCTGATCTTTTGCTAAATGTATATTTTTCCACACAAATGGTCATTTTTCTACAAGATCCATGAAGGACAAACAAAGCCTGATGAGTCTTTCAGGTCATTTAAACAACATTAGGACAAATGCAACTTCAAGCTTTTAATAAACAATTATGTTCAAACTGCTGGTGCCGTTGTCTGTCTAACAGCTTTACTACCAGAACCCAACAGGAACACCCTGTTCTCTCCTCCTTTCCTCTTTTCTACCAATCAATTATTCATCCCACACCACCAAACCACGTTAGCCTTGCACAGGATGCATATGCCCTCCGATGCTCATTCAGTTCAGGGAAAATAAAGGAAAATCAGTTGCGTCCGTCATAAAAACACGACTACAGCAGCTCATAAATCATAAAATAAAAGATTTTGAAATGTTCAGAGGGATTAAATGATGAATTTAACATCAAAATCCTCAAGTTAGCGTCAAAAACAACCCATCAGAAAGACGAGTCTTTAAAACACGGATATAAAAGGGATTTTACTGATTTACACACTCGAGTGAATATGGCAACAAATCTGACAACATATAGCCAAAACACTACCCCGGAAGCCTTGTCTAAATTATTCATCTGAACTAAAACATCAATAATCCCACGAGGCTTTAACACCTGGGCTCCTGAGGTTCGCTGCAACTTTAGAGTGAAACTAAAACCAAGACACCGATTGAACTCTTATCTCTGACCTCTGAGCGTCTAGGTTGGTTTAGGGTGAACCCCCAACATCTTTTATAGAAGTTATCTAGATCCCTGGATTAAAAACAACTCCTTTATTATAGTTGGCTTTATTTTTTGTCTCTCTGGAGAAATCAGAGTGAACCCAACTCACCACACAGTTGACATCCATGCCGGCCTCCAGCAGGGTCTGGATGGTGGTGTGGTGTCCGTTACGCGCCGCCAGGTGAAGCGGCGTGTGAAGGCGGGTGTGGCTACTCATGAGGTTTGGGTGGGCACTCACCAACATGCGTACCACCTATAATTAAAAAAAAACATATCCTTGTTTAAATTATCAAGACAATAAATCATGGACACACTTAACCGAAGCAAGTTCACCTCTCTTTGAAAAGATTTCCTTACAGGATTCAAACAAGATTTTAGACAATTTGGTTCTATAAATAAAAACAAGTGTCTTAAGTATCTGAACGGTCCTCTACAGATGAGAGGCACATCAATACTAAGCCTGTGGGTAGGAGGACGATCAACAGGGTCCAGAAGTCTGGAGAGCAACCGCCAACGAAAGTCCTTTTCTTCTTAAGTACATGAAATCATCATCTGGATTATTGGTGAAGTAATAAATGTTGCTATGAATCCTGATCTGCTCAGCTGCTTCTGACATATTTATTTATTAGCAGTGAACATCTTGAAAGTGGTGAACTCAAGGAAAACCATCTATTATGTTCCGCTAATGCATGGTCGGGTCACGGGGGCAGCCTAGTCAAAGAAGCCCAGACTTCCCTCTCCCCAGCCGCTTGGGTCAACATAGTGCCTCCAGCTTGTCCTGGGTCTACCTTTAGGTCTCCTCCTGGTTAGACGTGCCCGGAAAACCTCACCAGGGAGGCGTCCTAACCAGATGCTTGAGCCAACTCAACTGGCTCTTCTCGATGTGGAGGAGCAGCGGGTCTATGTCAAGCCCCTCCCAGATGACCGAGCTTCTCACCCCATCTCTTAAGGGAGAGCCCAGTCACCCTGTGGAGAAAACTCATTTCAGCCACTTGTATCCATGATCTCATTCTTTCGGTCACTACCCAAAGCTCGTGACCATAGGTGAGGGTAGGAATGTAGATCGACCGGTAAAGCTCTCTCTTCACCACGATAGACCCGTACAACGCCCGCATCACTGCAGACGCAGCACCAATCCGCCTATCGATCTCACGCTCCATCTTTTCAAATATTTCCTTCATTCCGATGCCTGATAGAACTGCTCCTGCTCTCTCAAACGCGTCACTCATCGGTCTGTTAGTGTTCTAAACGTTCCACCATTGTTGGACAGGTCTTAATGCAGCAGCAGTTTCCACCACAGGGAATTCCCTTCATTGCTATTCAGAGAGAAACCTGCCTGCTGCTTTTATAAATAATTCATTCTCTCTCTGACAAACCTGTACGGCCCGAATGCAATTACTATTACCTTAGCAGTGTGTGTGTGTGTGTGTGTGTGTGTGTGTGTGTGTGTGTGTGTGTGTGTGTGTGTGAGTGAGTGAGTGAGTGTGTGTGTGTGTGTGTGAGAGAGAGAGAGAGAGAGAGAGAGAGAGAGAGAGAGAGAGAGAGAGAGAGAGAGAGAGAGAGAGAGAATCCACACACACACACACCTCTCTCATTGCTCTTCACATCCCTGATAAAAATAAAGTCACACTTTGATAAGTGTGGGGATATTTTTGCTGCCACCTGATAACAATCAGAGCAACAAAACTCACAGTTTTAATCTGGTTATTTATAACTTTACATTCTGGTCAGCTGCTTAGTCTTCATGGGAGAAAATTGTTGGAATACATAAAAATGGACTTTATTTTCCTGGCGACATTCATCATCATCGTCAAACTTTATTTCTGTAGCACTTTCCAACAATCACAAGGTTGGCCAAAGCGGTGTACACCACTACACATAATAAACAGCAAAAGCTAAATTAAAACTAAACAAAAACCATCTCACAACATAAAGTAGGCTAACAGATCTCAAAAAGTAATACGTCAAGCCTCACTAGCTGAGTTTTCACTGTAGGAACTCCAGGGCATGTCTGGAAGGGAAGATACGATGTTTTTACTCTGACAATTCATTCATGTGAACAAAATGGTAAATTAAAGGTTTTATTTGTTTTTAAAGCTTTCCCACATTCTACTGACCTGCAGGCGTCCGTAAAGCGCTGCCAGGTCCAGAGGAGTTTCTTGCCGGTTGTTTCTCATAGTCGGGTCGGTCAGCTCCTGAAGCAGCACAGAAACCACCTCAGAGTGTCCATACTGGGCTGCACAGTGGAGCGGCGTTTCCCTCTCATGGTTCTGCAGAAGATACGAAACATCAGTCAGAGTAAAGACAAAAGAACCAGGAGTGAAGAAGAGGGATGGAAGTGGATCTAGAAGCTATGAGAGGAAAAAAGAGTGGGCAGGGAGTTGTGAAGTGAGGCGAGCCGAAGATTAAAGCTGCAGAAGGTCAAAAGTAGAGAAAACGGGCGACTCGGACGATTAATGAGGCAGAACCGGTCGGGAAAAAGGACACTGGTGACTTTAGGAATGTGTGTTGATGCCCTTCAGCACAAGAGATAGAAAGATTATTGTTTCAACACTAAAAAGAGAAAAACGGTTTGAGATATAGTTGAATAAACTGAATTGAGCTTTAAGACACAAACATGTCCGACGCAGATTCAGCTGCAGGAACAAACCTCAGGGCTGTGTTTTTGATTTATTTATTAGTTTGTTTTGCAACTCATATTTCTTGGTTCTTTTTAAACACAGAAAAGACGTTCTTTACCTTCTTTGCTAACGTTTCGGCTACTTCCTGTAGCCATCCTCAGAGCTGTGACAGAAGTGACGCCACCAACATCGCCACAGTTCTGAGGACGGCAACAGGAAGTAGCCGAAACGTTAGCAAACAAGGTAAAGAACATATTTTCTTTTCTTTGTTTAAAAAGAAACAAGAGATACGAGTTGAAAAGATCCACAGAATGAGCGCACAGAAGATATTTGTTTGTTTTCATGTGGACGTCCTGCTTTTATGTGGAAAATGAAGCTCAATAATTACAGCGATAAAGTATACAGCTTTCTTCACACCAGGGATACTTTTTAGCACTTTCGGCATCTTTTCCTCCATGAGCTGTGTGTGAGTCCAAGGTCAAGGGCAGGCTGAGAAACTGTACTGGAGTCCTTCTGCTGCAGGGACCCTTCCCAGCATGGCTGGTGATCCCCGAGTTACTGATTAAACCAGCCTCAAAAGGATTGGGAACCGGGCAGAAGGAGAAGAACAGGACATTAACACATACGTGCATACCTTAAAACCTCTGCTTCATGAGGCAGAAGATGGCAATGAGGGATGATTGTAAAGATTAAACTCTTAGCACAAAAAACTTCTCTCCTGCCTCCAAAGAGCCTCCAATACTACCAAAATAAAAGTCCAAACCACCAGGACCCCACTGCAGGGCTCCTCTCATCCCTTATCTCAGTCCCCAGAGCTGCAGCTTGTTTTGCTTCTGTCTGTCCTCTTCACGCTGTCATGCGTCCCTCTGAGCGCTGAAAGATGAAGTGATGAGGTGCATGTGTGGATAACAAAGAGAAAGAGCCCCTGTATGAAAATGCATAGATATGATCGCTTTTTCTGTCCCCTAGTCGATTTATTCTTCACATTTTATTTGAAGATTTGCTTCTAGTATCAGAAAATCTGCTCTGTATTTTTTATAAATGTTGGATTTTTTTGTATATTTTGTAAATATTTTCAGCTATAAACAGAAAACCACAGAGGATGGAGTAGAACACGGACGCCCGATAAGGTTTTGCAGCCGGATCAAACTCAGCAACACGACTCCATTTCTCTGTAGCTGAACTTCTCTTGTTACTCGGAGCTGCTTTCGAAAGCACGAACCAATAAATGTGTTGGATCAGAAATTAAACACACCTCCTTCAGCATGTATAGATCTGAGTTACATCCGATGACACTCATGGAAAACCAGAACAGGTGAAAGTCTAAAGCAAACCACAGATAAAGGATATAAACCACAGCAAAACCAAACAGAAAAGTCCATCAGTCTCATTGTTCACATGCAGCTACAGACCAACGTTGACCTCTGCAGCACTGCAAACAGGAATGCGTCCCTTTTATAAACAAGTAGCCTCATAATCCTTTGTGTGTGTTTCCGTATAATGCTATGGCTAACATGTTTAGGGGTGTTTCGTTATTGGACTTGTGTGCAAGCCGCAGTTTGGCCATAACGAACACCATGTTCGAACATAAGGATGCTCATCGGTACACTTGGTACCAGGGCAGCCTAGGTCGCAGGTCGATGATAGACTTTGTAGTCGGATCATCTGACCTGCGGCCGTATGTTTTGGGCACCCGAGTGAAGAGAGGAGCGGAGCTGTCAACTGATCACCACCTGGTGGTGAGTTGGATCAAATGTCAGGCGAAGATGCCGCGTAGATCTGGCAGACCCAAACGCCTGGCAGAAGAACCTGTTAAGACTGTCTTCAAGTCCCACCTCCGGCAGAGCTTTGACCGCGTCCCGAGAGCAGTGGGGGACATTGACTCCGAGTGGGCCTTGTTCTGCTCTGCGATTGTTGAGGCGGCTGTTGCTAGCTGTGGTCGCAAGGTGGCCGGTGCCAGTCGTGGTGGCAACCCCCGTACCCGCTGGTGGACACCAGAGGTTCGGGGAGCCGTCAGGCTGAAGAACTAAGGTAGTAAGTCTGACCTGTTCCCGGTGAGGGTTGGACTCCACCAGGGCTGCCCTTTGTCACCGGTTCTGTTCATAACCTTTATGGACAGAATTTCTAGATGCAGCCGTGGTGTGGAGTGTGTCGAGTTTGGTGGCAGGAGAATCTCATCTCTGCTTTTTGCGGATGATGTGGTCCTCCTAGTTTCATCCAGCTCTGACTTTCAGCTCTTGCTGGGTAGGTTCGCGGCTGGGATGAGGATCAGCACCTCCAAATCTGAGACCATGGTTCTCGACCGGGAAAGGGTGGCTTGCCAACTCCGGGTCGGGAGAGAGGTCCTACCTCAAGTGGAGGAGTTTATATTGGAGTCTTGTTCACGAGTGAGGGTAGGAGGGATCGGGAGATCGACAGGCGGATTGGTTTGGCGTCTGCAGTGATGCGGACGCTGAGCCGATCTGTCGTGGTGAAGAGGGAGCTGAGGCAGAAAGCCAGGCTCTCGATTTACCGGTCGATCTACGTCCCAATCCTCACCTATGGTCATGAGCTTTGGGTAATGACCGGAAGAACGAGATCGTGAATACAAGCGGCCGAAATGAGTTTCCTCCGTAGGGTGGCCGGGCTCAGCCTTAGAGATAGGGTGAGGAGCTCGGACATTCGGGAGGGACTCGGAGTAGAACCGCTGCTCCTCGGATCGAAAGGAGCCAGTTCAAAGTCAAAGTCAAAGTCATTTTATTGTCATTTCTACCACATGTGCAGGACATACAGAGAAACGAAATTGAGTTGAGGTGGTTTGGGCATCTGGTCAGGATGCCTCCTGGACGACTCCCTGGGGAGGTGTTTCGGGCATGTCCTGCTGGCAGGAGGCCCCCCGGTCGACCCAGGACACGTTGGAGAGGTTACATCTCCAATCTGGTCCGGGAACGCCTTGGGGTCCTGCCGGAGGAGCTGGTGGAGGTGGCCGGGGAGAGGACGGTCTGGAGCTCCCTAGTTGGTATGCTGCCCCCGCGACCCGGACCCGGATAAGCGGAGGAAGACGACGATGGCTATGGCTAACGCATGCACACGCACACGCACACACAATCGTTTCTCATCTTGCAATAATCACCCGGAGTGTAATTCGTTTTGATTCATGGAGAGCTGAAACTGTTCTCTTTAGTTTAACTTTAATTAGAAAACCCTCTGTCTTTAAGAGTCTGGCTGTGGAGAACAAATGACTTCTCTTAAACAGATTACTCATACGTCTCAGCGTGAGTGTGTGTTTTGGCAGTGGTCTTTTGAGCGTGGACGTTCCCAGAGTGGTTTCTCCCAGCAGCAGCAGCAGCAAGGTTCAAATGTTGATCGTCAGGAAACATATGGTTTCATTCGGCGGTGCGGTAGCAACATGTGTGCACGATGAGGCATAAAATTACCCGGTACGTAAGGTGAATCTATGCAGCAACAGGAATATAGGAAGAGTGGGAAACTGTGGAAGGAGAAGAACCTCATGACCCATTACCTCTGACTCAGTTCGCACGGTTCCCAGAAGGCTCGGTTCTTTCAGGTTCTCTTAATACAATGCTGCTCCCCCCCCCCCCCTCCCCAGGAGAGAAAGACAGATGGGTACAAGTTATAATATAACCTTACATCCATCTCCTGTTGGAAAAGATAACATTTCTGGAATGGATCTGCAGCGCACACACACACACACACACACACACACACACACACACACACTGGAACTGACGAGCCCTCGGGCTGCATACCAAGGCAGCGGCCCAGAGATTGTTCCCACACAACACATCTGCACTACATCAGAGGACAAGTCTCTGGGACACTAATGTCCCTCTCTCTGCAGGACACAACAGTCGCAGCTTTTCTTCATGGCTGTGTGTTAATCTAATAAAAACATTTCCTAATAATATTCACTAAAGCTTTTAGAAAAACATCGTATGATCGGAGTTTGGTCAATTAAATCAGCTGTTGGATTTTTCTATCGTGGAAAAGTGGACAGAATCACACAGCCGGACATCCAGTAGGTCAGCAGGAGCTCAGGCGGTAGAGTGGATTGTCCACTGATCAGAAGGCTGCAGGTCCGATCCCTGTTTCGACATTTCGACCTCATGCAAGACACTTAACCCGCCTTGCGGTGGCGCCTGTGCTTGACAGCTTCGCTCCTTCTAACTAATGTCTGACAGAAACGCAGGTTTGAGTCTGAGGTGAAAGACTGCTAGCAGCCAGCATTAGCCTCACTTTTTCAGAAACCTAATAACATTTAGTAAGCAGCTGAAAAAATAAACACCATCATAAAAGGAAATAACTCTGACACAAAATAGTTTTGATGCTGCATGATAAATAGAAACATCTCCTCTGTAAACATGAATGGAGCCGAAATGACAAAAAATTAAGACTTTTAGCTAAATTTGCCGTATATTTCTTCTCGTATTTCCTTTATTTTATAATTTACAGGAACATTTTAAGCATCTTAATGAAGCATTATTTGTAATGTTGTGTTTGCATGTTGTATAAATTATTCAACATTTGTTGAGTTTGTTTATTGGTCTTGAAAAATAAATCATAGTTAATCCTTTAAGCCTTAAAGTCTGCTTGTAAGAAGCTGTCGCTCGTAGATAACAGGACAGCTGGAACAGGGTTACATCAGAAAA